TGGCCGTTATCCGTTGTCCTTTCAGGCGTGATTGTATCTGCAGCTTTGAAAAGCCATCATGTGTAGCTGGCAGGGTAATAAGGATCAGCAAACCACAACACTACGCCAAGATGAAGGCCTATTGTGATGAGTTTACAAATTCATCAAGTATGGAGCCTGTTACCAACATTTGAAAATTTCGATTACCCCCAAACCGTTACGTTGCTTAAAACTATTTAGCAGTGTTTGTGGTCATAAATTAGAAACATCTGTTGTAGCTTATCATCAAGTCAGTCTCTGTCGGGCAAAGGCTTCATTACGCCCAGTGGTTTATATTCGTCAGTGTTCTTTCTGTCTCCGAGGCTGAGGTGTACAGAATAAGCATTTAACTGTTCGAATCTATTCTCTTACGCACGCCGAGAGCAAGAGAGTCTACCTTTCATTCATCGTGTCAATTTGCACAGATTCTACACGGCCAATCTACTCCCAATCCTCATCACGGTGTGCCAGTGGGACGATGAATCGATTTTTGAGGCGCTGATAGAACACTTTCCCCGAATCGCCTCTCAACTCTTGTATCATGCTTCTGAACGAGAGTTGCGCGAGGTATGTTAATGTTTTAATATTTGTCGCTACACACGTTTGCTGGTTGAACGGTTTTTTCTTCCCCCTGACTGAATTAGGAACCACCAGTGCGCCTTTTTTTAAAAAAATAATTGTATTTACGTAGATTTGCGGTTTCTAAACCAAATAACATAGTCTTTGCTACGATTTTCCAGACGATTTTTTCCATCCAGTCTTAACTATGAACATACCACAACGGTTATCTTTTATGCGATTAACATGGAAGTCACTACCAGTGAGAAAAGATGATGTTCAACAAATCACTGAACATTGACATATCGTTCAAAATTATATCCAAAAAAATATTGGAACAGTGCAGTATCAATTATTTTTCGATTCAGCAGGGCATGGTCCGTCCATTCTTATCCAGAAATTCCCAAAATATCTGTTCTGCAAATGCTGACGAGCGTTTTAAAGACCGCGAAGTCAATACTTTCCTACCCTAAAGCTTAAGGCCGTTTCTATTAAGATATGAGAACCACGGGTCTTATCATTTAGCTGTAGTTACCTAATCAGCAATCCGTAGAAGTTCCCAATGAGGCTGAAAATGACAAATCGTTCAGTCCAAAATGTGAATATAAAAAAATTAGCCAGAACATCACGTAGGATGTGTGCATTACAGCATGATCATGTTGAAAAGATGCTGCTCCACTCATCTTCCTTGTGACGTTTCTTTTTTCCTTACGTTACAACGAAACGTTCCTGTTTGTTTGTATAAGTGATTGCAATTTGTATTGCTCGCAAAGTGATTTAAAGCAAAAGAAGTAAACTCCATGGTCAATGAAAAACTGTAGGCGGGAGGAGGAAATTTGTTTGTCTTAGCCACGACGAACGAAAAGAAACCAAAACACAAGGCACTGGTGACAACGTTTCGACCCTCTTGAAAGACCTTTCTCACGTCGTCACCAACGCCTTGTGTTTTGGTTTCTTCCCTTGTCGTGGCTAAGACAAGCTAATTTCCCAATAATCATGAGCACGACACCCAAGTTTTTCAATGAGATCCGTTCCATCGTGTGATTAAGATTATCAGTGTTATGAAGTGCGGAGATGGGAAGAATGTTCTAAAATTTTGCAGTCCTTGAGGAAAAGAAGACTAGAAGAGAGAAGCTCAATATCTGAGGACAGAAACCTGATGAGGATAACTGCTCGTTTGAGAACAAGATGATCGAAAAAAGTNGTTTGAAAGTTAAAGACCGTGCGCCCATCAGCTGTTCCTAATTGAACACGGTCGAGAAGAGAAAGAGCTGAATACAAAGCTCCACCCCACACGTGACTGCAGTAATCTAGCATCGGGTGAATTTGAGCTTTGTGTATCTGTAGAAAATGCTCGAATGTAAGGAAGC